ATAAAGCTCCTGAAATTTTTATCTTTGTTCATATTTGTGTAATGTGTCTTTTTCTCTGTCTTCAATATTTGCTTTTAATCCTTGAGTCAGAAGTTTGATTACGATTTCTCTAGTTTTCAGTTTCAGAGTATTTTTTGTTTTTGCTATTTTTTAGCATTGGGGTTTGCCGAGCTTTTTGGATCTGTGGTTTGATGACATTCATTTTTTTTATCACTTTTGATCATTATCTCTTCAAATAGTCTTTCTGCCATATTCACTCCTTGTCCTCTAGGACTTTGATTATATATGAGTTAAACCATTTGAAATTATCTCACAGCTCTGGGAAAGTACATTCCATGTCTTCACTTGTTTTTGTCTTTGTGTTACAGTCTTAGTAAGTTCTATTGCTCTATCTTTAACTTCGCTGATTCTTTCCTTGGCTGTATCGCATCTACTCATGAGTCCATCACAGTAATTTTTCATTTCTGATACCATGTTTTGGTTTTTTCTAATATTTCAATTTGACTTTCTTATATTTTTCATATCTCTCATGAAATTCTCTATCTGTTCATTCATGTAGCCCTCCTTTCCATTCTATCATTAGACATATTAATCACAGTTAATCATAGAACTAATAATCCTAACATCTGTGTCATATTAGGGTCTGGGTCTATTAACTGTTTTGTATCTTGACCATGGCTTATAATTTCTTGCTTGGTTTGTGAGTCTTGTAACTTTTTAAAATCAAATGCTAGTCATCATGAGTAGAACAATAAAGAATAAGATAAATAGGGTTTACTCCTGGGAACAGACACACCCTTCTTGTGGCAAGTTGTCAGCGAATCAGATTGCATCATCATATTCAGGAGTTGAACTGGATTTGGGTTTTGTTGCCATGGTTGACTTCAAGACCCCACACCTTCCAAATCCTTTAACAATGCCTTTTGCTTAGGAGAAGTTTGGGGGTATACAAACATCTGTCTCATATTTATGCACACACCCCAGTTTCCAGCCATCCCTACATCCCTGCACCACAAAAAAGGATTCATGCTCCTCTCCTCCCACTGGGAGTAGCAAGCAGGTACTTTATACTCAGTACTTGTGTCTTTATCAAAGAGGCCCCCAGAGCTGCCTTGACCTCCTCCCCAAATGAGGACACAGCAAGAAGGCGTCATCTGCAAGCCAGGAAGAGAGCCCTCGTCACTCCCCAACCACGCTGGAACCCTGATCTCTGACTTCCAGAACCCTGAGAAGGAAATGCTTGCTGTTTAAGCCCCATAGTCTGCATTTGTTTCTATCATGGCAGCCTGAGCTGACAACGGCAAGAGCCAAGTACAGCCCCAGCTCCTGGTGCCTGCAGAGAAAGGGTATAAAGCTGGTCTGCCTGATGGGTGAAGAGAAGAATATGAACATTAAGCATTAGTTTCTACACTTAGAAATGTCCAACAAGCTTTTTTGGGGGGGGAATCTAAGTATGACAGCAGATGGTTATCGTTATTCTCATCACAGATGAGTCCAGTATATTTAAAAACTAAAGGTCTTTATCATATTTATTAAAGTTTAGATGGGTTACCCAACTTCACTCCAATTGCACTCATATTATCGGAGACCTGTGCCATGCACTTAATTCTTAACCAGCGGTAAGTGAGAGGTGGGCAATGTTATTCTCACAAGTCGCCCACCTAATCTCCACCCACAGTGACCCAACTCAGCCCGACAGAAAGCAGGCTACTCGAGCAAAGCTGCTGGCTGGTGCCACATCACCTGAGTTCATGGTGCAAATAGCTATTATTCCTGAAACAGCAATGCAAATAAAAAGGCGCTTAAAGAATGATTAGTGCTTAAAGATCACTGTCTATCCAAGGAAAATGAGCTTAGCTCACGAAGCCTGCTTGAAACGAAGAGGTTTGACTCACTCTTCCAGCGCTCTGGGAGTTCTAATTCTGTTTCTTTGATTAACTTAAAGGAGATCAGCAAAAATATTTCTGATCCTGAGGCCACTTATTTCTGAATACATGAACTTATGACAATATCGATCAACATAATGTAAAGGTTATATAGTTATGCATTACGTATTACACATACTACACGTTTACCTACATTCGTATATTTATAAATTTTATAATGTATTTATAATATAAACTAAGTATAACATACACATTTATTAGTTTATAGTAGGATGTAAAAATTTAATAGCAATTTTTAACAACAACAACATATCTGAGAATTTACACTTAAATATCTTTATAATAGAGCTGTGTTTTCTCGTTGACTGCAGTAGAATGGAAAGGGTGTCTCCTAGCTTTTAGCTGGCTGGGAGTTCGCCTTCCCTCCCGTTTTCACTGGTCGCCCACAGACGTCCGCTGTTAAGCAGTTAGTAACACATAAACCACCTCTCCAATGTGTTTCTTTGAACTCAAGGACATTCAACATGTGCTTTCCAAAGCTGGGCAATTTCTCATAATTCTAAAAGATATCCAAAAAATCAAATTTTTCATGAAGGAATTCAGAAACTCCTTTCTCAGAACAAATGCATTTGATTATTAGTAAATTACCTTTGGCATCGAGACGTTTCTCCCCCAGAAGATAAATAAAATTCTAATGTTATATTCACTTATGATCTTAAGTCAAGGAAAAAACAGGGAAGAGAAAAAGCAAAGATTTGACAAATAGTGGGCCAGGTTAGAATGAAAGGTTATTCTAATATGTATTACGTTAGTCAAAAAGTCAAAAGGTAAAAATTAATATGAATTTGATTGTAATAAAGTGAGAAATGCAAATGAAAGCCACAATGAGGTGTCACCTTACCCCAGTTAGAATGGCATTCATCAAAGAGTCCAAAAACAATAGAGGCTGGCGTGGGTACAGAGAGAAAGGAGCACTTGTATACTGTTGGAGGGACTGCGATTTAGCATGATCTCTATGGAAAATCTTACGGAGATTCTTTACAGAACTAAAAGTAGACCTACCGTTCGATCCAGCAATCCCACTGTTAGGTATTTACCCAAAGGAAACGAAGACTTTTCATCCAAAAGACACCTGAGCCCGAATGTTTATAGCAGCACAATTCACAATTGCAAAGATGTGGAATCAACCCACATGCCCATTGATTCATGAGCAGATCAATAAAATGTGGTATATGTATACCATAGAGTACTACTCAGCCATAAAAAGTGATTAATTAATACCTTTTGCAACAACCTGGATGGAACTAGAGACCATCCTTCTAAGTGAAGTGTCTCAAGAATGAAAAAACAAACACCACAAGTACTCACTATTAAATTGGAACTAACCAATGAGCACACCTGTGCACGGAAGGAAGTAAAACTCAGCAGAAACCAACCAGGGGTATGGGGGTAGAAAGGGAGGGGCAAAAACCTACCTAGCGGGTACTATGGACACTATTTGGGTGATGGGCACACCTATGGCCAGGACTCAAGCATTACAAAAGTGATCCATGTAACCTAAAACATTTTCACCCCCTTAATATTTTTAAATAAAAACATATTAAATATGTACCATGTATTATACATATTAATTATTAAATGTATTAAATATCTACCACAAAATAGTAACTAAACAACGTCTGTAATATAGAAAATCTATGAGAGGCTGCCGTAAGCTTCTCCAACTAGACAGGCATTTAGCATGTTTACAGCATAAGTTCCCTAAGAAGAAAATTAAGTCAATGCTGCAAAACATCCATATGATATTCAGGGATAAGCTGAGAAAAGGAACATTCACTCCAAGATTAAGTTGGGGCAAGCGAACTGATTTTACTGTTTTAAAACTAAATTTGCTGATTATTTTCGTGGTAGTTGTTGCCAATGCATTGGGAGATTAGAATATTATTTTTTCCTATATCAAAAGAGCCATGCCATCCCCACAGACTACAAGCCATCTAGTCATCTTCATCAGCATTAAATTAGATAGGAACAGGAGCGTCGTCTTAATGCACGATGTTGATGGAGATATGCGTGCACCCTGCCCATTCAGATGTCAGCCAACCACTAAGTCACCAAATCATCACAAGGCAAGGCAGCAGGTTTCACTCCAGAACCTTAAGGCCCGAGAGAAACATGGAGAGTCCAGTTGTCCTCCCTGACCCATCAAGAAGCAGGATCCACAGCAAAGTGGAACAAACATGCAGGCAAACAGGGAAGAAAATAAATACATCTCCTAAACCAGCACTGCAGTATCCACAGGAACATCTCCTTATGACTGAATTTCAGAGACCCATATTGAGACAAGCTTGGTAGGTAGGAAATTACAAGCAGATAATGTGATTCTAAAGTCATAAAATATTCCATAATGGAAGGTGTTGCAAGATGAGTTTGGCACGGGCAGCATTTGCTTTTATAAAATGATCGTATGTTAAGGTGATTTAAAAAAAAATCAATTTAAAAATTCACAAGATGGTTTTATTCTCCCGTTACTGTATAGGTTTATTACACAATCTTTCATCCAGGCATTATTTCATGGGAGTCTGTTCCAGGACAAATGTTCTTTCAGGTCACTGGACTCCAAAGATAGAACAAAATCCATCTTCCAAACAGGGCACTTCCTAGCCCATCTCCGGCATCACCCCCAACGTGAAGGCAAAATTCACCGAAATCGCTCATGGAGCTGTGTCCTATAGACCAGTGAACCTCGTGGCACGCACCTCAAGCCAGACGAGTAACATTTTTTTAATGAGCTGACTGATCAATTAGTGCCTATTAAGAGCTATCAGTAGAAATCACGTTCCAATCCTAAAAGTAGACACGCGAGTACAATTTTGGACTCATCCATATGTTCAGCTTAAAAATAGATCCTATATTTAAAAAAAAAATAGTAAATAACCTACCCAGGACTCCATTTTTATTAAAAAAGGATTCATGGTCATGAAAATAAATTCTATTTTACCATGAGAATCAGTTCATTAAAATGACAAATGTGGCTTTCATACCTAAAATCCACGTATGACCAAAGCAAAAAAAAAAAAAAAAACTGTATGCCATCCATATTATTTTGGCACCAACCTGGAATAGGCTGAGATGCTAACACCACCGTGGGGAGCGGCCTGGAGACAGCAGCTGACCTGGACAGGGACACCGCCACCTGATTGGCCAGCAGGTGAGGCTTCTCGTGCCCATGGAACAACCTTGAGTCCTCTGGGTGCACCCACGTTGAGTCCAGAGCAAAGGAGTTATTGAGGAAGATCTGTCCAAACACAATGCAAGTACAACATGTAAGGTCAGGCACGTGACAAAGCTAAACAGTACTGTGTAAACATTTACGTTGTCTTGCATTGATCAAACACCGGACAATCTATGAACGAGGACTCTATCAAAGCACCATTCTAAACTTAGAGACAGATCTACAGGGCTCAGGTAGGGATCATCTCCTAGGTAAAGTCCCCTGCAGTCTTCTTCGTCTAGGGACCTGGTCACTTTAGGCCAGCGATCAGTTTACAGATTAAGGAACCGCCGTGGGGTCATTAGTACATTGGACGGTAAGTCAAGGTTTTACTTTTTCTCCGGTGTTCATGAAAGCGAAATGTAGCCAGCAAATTTGAATTCAAAAACACCAGAAAGATGGAAATGCAAAGCAATGAACAGCAAGAAAAACTTAGTTTCAGAATTTTAACTTATGTTATATAATGTTCAAGGCTAGATTTTAAACATGGTCACAGACTTACACAATCAAAAATTAACAACAAAAAAAAAATTCTGATTCTGAAATTGGAAATTGTGCATTGTTCTATGGAATCCAAGCATTTTAAGCTAAAACAAAATAGCCCTCCCAATTGGCTGATGTTTTTGAACAGACCAGTCTAATTCCAAAATGATCTGTCTATAATTTATTGCAATTAGCAATTAGATGGTATTTTTGTTGTCACAGCAATATCCAACAGCTTAATAATTAAAAGCCCACTTATCCAATTAAATTGCTCACATACCTTACAATTAGGTATCCTTTTGTCTATCCAACTTTTCCCAACAGGAGGTGGAAGAGCAGAAGGGCCGACATGTGGGAAAAGAGGCACCAGTTCCACAGCAGAAGCGGGGGGCAGACCCAGGGACATGGAAGGGCCCCCCAGCAGCCACTGCAACCCAAGAGAGAGAAGGCAGTGCTCGTTAGCCTTGCTCATCCACTCTGCTCTGCACCCGCAGACGATGAGATTGCTGCTTTGAAAAGGGAATTGCAAAATGTGTGCATTTGATTATGAGAAAAATATCCTCTTTCCCCAGTTGAGAAAGACCATAAATATATACAAATCTAAGAAATATTTATATAAAAGTTTTTTCAACAGCTGAATCATCACAGAGCTTTATCAACGCTGCATGCTTCAATATTGGAAAAAGAGCTTCCGAGCACAAAACCATGAGGAGGACATGGTAAGACATGAGTTTCTGCCCGTAGATAATGAGAAACCACCATGGAAAGGGGAAATGCCGGGCACTCCGTCTACAGTTCCTGAATGGTTTAGAAAAGCAACCATAGAGCGATACTTCATAAAATTCCTTTCAATGTAACACTTTGTATTAATTACATCTGTCATTTTAAAAACACTTAACTAGTATTTTCAAAACGGAAATACCTAAGGAGCTAAGAGTCAAAGTTTCCCAAGGCTCACCAATACAAATAGGTTCCACAGCAAAGAAAATCCAAGTATCACATAATGGGGAGGGGCCCAGCGCACAGAATAAAACAGGGAAGGTGGGAAAGCGGCAGGCAATTCAGGACGCCGTCTCCCGGATGAAAACAGCTGAACCCTCATGGGGACAGCCAGTAAAATGCCTTGTTTAATGACAGCAAACACTTCGGCATCTATTGTTTTAAAAGCATAAAAGCATTTTTTTTTTCAAATTTTCCTAGCACATGAAAATAATCCTCTGGTCCTAAATATTGCTACTTAATAGAAAGTAGGTAGCATGAACTATTTAAAAAAATTAATACTAAGTGTTTTGGATTTTTCTTTTTAAATGTATCCAAGAGAGGGGAAAAAAAATGCAGTCTTCTAAACAGAAAAAGGAAATGTAGTTCCTTGACATTATATACCTCTAGTGGTAGCACTGTGATATGACAACCCTTCCAAAATATGGCAAAAACTACCAACTTTTATTCAATAAAACCCGATATGAACTGCATCGCACATCAAAACACAATACCCAGCACCACATAGATGATGTGCCATTCAGTCTAAAGACCAATTCTGGAGGTGTTTAGCAACACCTTACAGAAAAGCTCATGCGATGATGCTGGGAATTAAATTAATTAAATGGTGTATTCTTAACACAACGCTCATTTGAATATGCCAGTGAGGTCAGTCCCCGAACACAAGGCATGTTCTCCCCGCTCTAAAGGCGTCTGCTCAGCGAGACAGCAGACAAGGGATCTGGCCCACATCAGCCTGCCTCGCTCTGCTGCACCATCCATCAAAGGTACCGTCACTTTTCCTTTTTAATTCCAGGTTCCAAACGCCAAACTCCTGAAAGTGCAGGATGGCATCAGCAAACCCGGTGGGCTCGGGCAGGCCTGGGGGGAGGAAGCCGCCCGCAGCCTTCCCCGGTGCTGAGGCAGGCTTCCCGCGGCTGCCATTGGCTTGAATTCCCTGAACATCGCCCTGAGTCTATTTCAAAGGCGAGGGGGACCAACCCGAACCAGATCAGAATCAGAAATAGCTATTGATCCCGGCCTGCGCTCCCTGCAAGGCAGGGGCTGGGAGTCCCAACTCCCTGCGGTTCGGCACAGCCCGGCCGCGCTCGCCGGAGCTGCTTCAGCACCGCGCCCCGGACAGCGACCCGCGCGGGGCCAAAGTTGCGGCCAGGCAGTCCCGGCTGCGGCCGCGTCCCCAAGCCGCCGCGCGGGGCACGGGGACACCGCAAAGCCTGCGGGAGGCAGAGCCGGACGCGGAGGCGCGAACTTTCCCGCAGGTGCCGGGCTGCGGGCTGCACCGGAGGGCCGGAGGGCCGGGGCGGCGGGGGCGCACGGGCGGGAGCGCGCCGCAGGGCAGGGACCAGCCGGGGAGGGCCGCGCCTGGACGGGGGCAGCGGCCACGCCAGGCCGGGCTGGGGACGGGGACTCGTTCGTTACCTGCCCGTGCAGCAGGCGGTGCGCGGCGGCGTGGTCCGGCGCGGAGGGCGGCGGCAGCAGCGGCAGCAGCGGCTCGCCGGGGCCGCCCAGCCGGCAGCCGGCCCAAGCGCGGACCCCAGCGCGGCAGGCCCGGGGGCTGGGCGGCGGAGCAGCACCGGCGGGGCGCGACCCCCGCGCCGAGCCCGCAGCAGCCCGGCCGAGCCCGGGACCAGCCACAGCCAGGGCGGCGGCGGCGGGTCCGCGTTCATCGGCCAGAGGAGAGGCTGCCGCGGCCGGGGCTGCAGCTGCCGCCGCCGCCGCTGGAACCTGGCGCCCGCCGGCATCCTACATCCCGCGCGGGCGCGGGCGGCGGGCGCCCGAGTGCGGGCCGCGGCGCGCGGGCTCCGGAGCGAACTCGCTGGCTCCGCGCGCCGCGCGCTGCTCCGCCCCTGCCCCGCGGGGAGCCCTCCGCCCCGCGCCTCCCTCCGCGCGGCCGCCGCGCCCGCCGCCCCCGGCCGCCAGTCCCCGCCCCCGCCAGCGCCGCACCCTCGCACTGCCCCGCCTCGCCACCCCTGGCTGGTCCCCAGCGCCGGCGCCCGCCCCTGCCTCCACCGGCGGGTCCCAAACCCGACCCTTCCCCCTCCCGCCCAGCCACTGGCTCCGCTCCTAGCCGGTCCCCAGCGCCAGCCCCGCCCTCTCCTGCGTCCCAAAACCCGTACCCGCCCCCCTCCTCCAACCCCGCCACAGCCCCCCCTCCCCGAGGCTCATCCCAACCGCCCCTCCCTCCCCATTCCGCCCAGCCCGGCCCTCACCTCTCCACAGCGGGTCCCAGTTTGCCCCCGCCCCTGCCTCCCTGGGCGGGTCCCAACCCCCCAGCCCAACCCCCACCGCGCGGGTTCACTCTCCACCTCTGCGGTCCCGGGCCCCGGCCCCGCCCCTCTCTCGCCTGAGTCCTGGACCTGGGGGCGGAACCGGCTAGGGCGTGCTGGGCCCGAGATTCAGCCTATGGGCCTGCCCCGGCTCAGGTAGCCTCTGGCCCTTGCGGACGGTGCGGCCACCAGGGAGGCGCGGGTGGCCGGGACGGGGCTCCGGACTCCGCACTGGAAGGCGAGCAGAATCCCGAGTCGGCCCGGCCGGCTGCCGGACGGGGACTGAGGGCGCTGATAAGGGCCGCGCGGGCAGCGCTCTGCTGGGTGTAGTTGGGTCCAGACCGGCCCCTACGGGGTACTGGATGGCAGGTCCCGAGCCAGGTGGCATCTGACGCTGTCAAATAAATCTGCCACTTTCCTGAGGCTGCAGCAGGCCCGGGGCCAGGAACTTGAGCCGTGGGGGCCTGGTCTAAAGTTCCGCACCCCCATGCCTGCTGGCCTGCTGGCCTCTTCGTCCGCCTTTGCCTGGTGCCTCCCCACCCACCCCACC